AGCTCCTCACTTTATGATGTAGTCAGAGACCTAAATTCAAATCATAGCTTCTCACTTTATGATGTAGTCAGAGGCCTAAATTCAAATCACAGTTTCTCACTTTATGATGTAATCAGAGAAATTCAAATCACAGCTCCTCGCTTTCTGATAGGAAACCTCCCTAAGCTTCAGTCTTCTCCTCGGTCAGTGAGGATTACCATAAAATTGCCCGCCTGAACTCACAGGTTATGAGGACCACTTGACAGGAGGTACCTGAAAGCAGATTATAAACTGGGAAGTGGGTTCAGAGGCTTCTCATCATTATTATTGTTGTGCTTTTATCTTCTCAGAGCATCTCATCACCCTCCTGACCTGCCTTCAAGTTTTTTTTGTTGTTGTCATTGTGCTTTAAGTGAAAGTTTACAATTCAAGTTATTCTCTCATACAAAAATTTATACACACATTGTTATGTGACCCCAGTTGCTCTCACTATACTGACAGCACACTCCTCCTTTCCACCCTGGGTTTCCCGTGTCCATTCAACCAGCTCCTGACCCTCTCTGCCTTCTCATCTCACCTCTGGACAGAAGCTGCCCATTTAGCCTCATATATCTACTACCTTCAAGTATTCTTAAGTAGCCTAATCACCTCACAGTCCCCCTTATTTAAAGCCCTAGGATAATCAACCTCAGGTCTCCCCACTTACATAAGAAAGCAGGAAAGAGCTTCTGCATCAGGACTTTGGGATAGGTGCCTCCGGGCCAAGGCTTTGTAGCGCTGCCAACGTCGGAAATTCTCATAAACGCCCTTGGAGGCATAGGAGAGTTCACCCAGTGAGGGCTTGGATGGGGTGGCCGCGGGGCCTCCTTCCCCGGGAGCCCCATGTGGCCCTGGCCAAGCCTTCTCCGGGGGGATAACGGGGGCCAGGTGGGCAGCTGGTGGCAGAGCTTGAGGAAGAAGGCCTGGGGGCCCCTCCTGGCTCACCCCAACGGCCTTAGCAGGCAGAATGGGCTTCGCATTAGAGGCTGTCACAAACAGCGGTGGAAGACCATCAGGGCCCGCGCCAGGAGCACCTGAGGCAATCCAGTTGAGGGCAGTCTGAGTAAGGACAAAGCTGTGAGTTGGAGGGGACTCAGCCAGCCCCCCTTCTGTCTTGACTTGGACAATGACCTTGCCGGCCCCACTGGGGCCAGGGCCCCCATCCCCTGTCGTCAGCAGTGGGCTGGGGAAAGCAGACAGCACCAGAGAGCTGCCTGCAGAGAAGGCTGAAGGCACAGAGGGCTGTGGGCCTGGCTCCCAGGGCGGCTGGTCTGCTGGGCCGGAGGTCGGTGGGGGGAAGGAAAGAGCGGCAAAAGGAGACATGGCGGTGCCGGGTTTCACAGTCACATCCGATCCTGACAACAGAGATGCTGCCAAGGCAAAGAAAAAGAGGGAATGGAGGGGGAGAGAAGGAGACAGGCATTAGACCATCCAGGTCCCCTTGAGTCACTAAAGAATCGGAGCACCGACTCTCAACAGGCGGGGCAAGGGGCATGGATGGGGCGTTTATGTGGTTTGCAAATGTCCCCCCAAGTGATTCTGTGTTCCCAGCTGAAGATTACTACACTAGAGAAATTGCTCCCTTTTCAACAAGACACGGAGACCCTTGTCGGCCACAAAGAGACAAGCCCAAGCCATCATGGCCTCTGACACCCTTGCCAGCCCCATAGGCTGTTTGTCAAGCACATGGAGCAGGGCTGACACCTGCTCTGCAGGGGAAAGAGCCCAGGGCAGGCTCCCAAGCAGGTGAGGGACCTAGTCCAGGAGAGGCTCTGGCCCTCTCTAGGCACCCACCGAGCCCTGAAGAAAGAGGCAGTTTCAAAAAGGTTAGTAGCCCCATCTCCTCCTCAGTCTCCCGTTTACTGGTGCACCTTATAAATCTCCTCTCCTTCTTTCCTAACCAAAGACACAGAGGAAGAAAGATGCAATCTACCACCAGGAGCAAGGACCCTAGGACCCATGGAGCTCACACCCCGTAACACATCCCACCCAGCATACATGTACATCTGCCGTTCCCACCCATTCCAAGCAGAGTCAAACCTGAACCCTGCTCCCAGCTGCTCTGTGGTCCCTGCTACCACTCACAGAGGCGGTGTTGCCAGGAGAGGGGTGTGGATTCAATATTCGGTTCCCAGAAATGTTGTTATATAACAGAAACGCTTAGGGAGCAAATGGGCGAGGGGTCGGGGGTGGGGGTGGGGGGCTTTCAGTAACTGCTGGGCAAGTTAAAAGTTGGCGATGGACACAGTCTATGGTCCTCCTGCTTTGACCTCTCAATGACAGAAATTTACGGCCCGCTAAGAACAAGGCACTGATCCGGCTGCCAAGGGAAGGACGACGAAGCCTGGAACACAGTTCCCATTCCCAAAGAGCTCATGGGAACGCTAGTCGAGGAGACTGATACACAGAGTGTGCACTTAATTCCTCAGGATGTGTGTCTCCTAGGACTTTTAATAATAATAATAGAAGATAATCTGCCTCATCTCATGCTACTGTCCTCCCCCTCTTTACAGAACATTCCATGGCAACACTTGTCAAACCGACGACACTCAGCTTCCACTTGGTAGCCAAGGAGACGTGAAATATGAGGAAATTCGTCACCTCAACAGCAGAGCAGCGGGCCAGGAGTATGGCACAAAGTGCTGGCCAAGATGAAATGGGTCTGAAGGCCTGAGTTCATGAGGTAAAACAACTCACAGCATCTCAGGGAAGCCCCAGCTGTCATCCCACTGGAGTTACCTCCCTTCTCAGCCCTGGTGAATCCAGGAAAACTGCTCCCTGAACAGAAAGAGAAACCGTCTCTGGGGCTGGAGAGAGCCATGAGGCTCTTGAGCAAAGGCAGTTATAGTACCTTCCAGCCCAGCTTTCCGGAGGACATTTCTCTGCAAACTCAGAAACAGACAACCCCACTGAACAGTGCTCTGGCTAAGGTCACCCCCCCACCCCCCACCCCCATAAGATGGAGAGCGGCCCCAGCTTAATTCTTAGGGCAAAACCCTAGACAGACTCTAGTTACCTAAAGAAAAGGACACAGAAACTTAGGCCTTCCCCTTAGGCCCTCTCTGTGCCACCCCCACCACACATACCTCTGTCCTTCTAGAGAATCAAGTTGCTCACTGCCATCCTTTCTCTCTGCTCAGCACACTTCCTCTGAGGAGCTTTGAGTGGCCTTCAAGGAGCCCCTTTTCCTTCCCCAATCCCCAGTCTTAAGCATCTAATCTCCTTCCCCAGCCTCCCCAAGAGCTTGTCCCCAACAGAAGTGAGAAATTTGAATCCTCAAAGATCTGAGCTGGTGGCGAGGGGTCCCCCCTGCAGGCTTACCTCCATCTGAAGCCATCCTCTCAAGTTCAGGCACTAATCGTTGCTATCTGGAAACTTCCAGAATGAGACAGTCAGGTCCAGGGCCCAGAGAGAAACCTGGCTCCAGTAGATCCACAGGGATCCAGGGAGGGGAGGGTAAAGACGGGATCAAAACAGAACTAGAATCTAGGACTCGAGGCATTCTGCAGTGGGGGAGGGGAGAAGAGAATGTGGGGTGGGAGAGAGGAGACAGCCCATAAAGCGTTCTGGTAAAGTAGGCAACACCAGGAATTCCCTCCAAACTAGAGTTTGGCAACATAATTGATACCCACCTCTTCAGGGCAATTTGTAAATTCTTTCTCAGACTCCCAACACTGCAGTTTTACCGGTCAGTTCCCTTTCAGTTCTTCAACATACCTAGTTTTCTGCCCTTTAACCTTACCCAGTTCTGTAACTGACTTCTTTTTTAATAGCAGGTTAGTGGTAGACCCTTGACTTAATTCAGGGAAGCTTACGTTTTCTAAACCAAATTCAGAGCACATAGTTTGTGTACTTATGGATCAAGGGAACTGAATGTTTGAAATTAGGATCATCTCAGAAGATCCAGGGTGTTCCTATGCATATTGCTTCCTTGGAAAGTTGTCCTGCAGGCCACCAACAGCCCACTTCCATAAACTCTACGGCAGGTCCAGCCTTACCAGTGACGCCCTTGGCTGAAAAGCCCCACTACATCAAAAACTGCCACGTAACCTAAAATTTCAAGACCTGAAAGTCCTCATTTTTGTTTGTTAAATTATTTTGTTGTTAAATATTTATTTTCTATTTTAAAAAATAATTTTTAGTAAATTTTTAAAATGCGTAATACAATAGCATGGTTCAAAGGTCAAATTGCGCAAAACAGACTATACACGTCTTCCTCCCGCCCCTTCCCTCTGTAACACAGTTCTCCGTTCCAGAGGAAACCAATACTGTTTCTTGTGAATTCTTGCAGAGATATTTTATGCAATTACAAATACAATCTATATTTTACAAAAGAAAAAAGGCCTTTAGATTTTTCTGGTTATAAACTTAACATACGTTCCGATGTTTTTGCCATTTTAAAGAATGTTGCAACGATCGTCCTTGTAATATCTTGGTCCTAGTTTTCATTTCTTTAAACTACAGCCATATAAGGACAATTTCTCCGTTCTTTTAAAATTCGAAACAGCCCTGCGAAGTGTATCTTATTATGCTATTATTAGCTACTCACCAAACAAGGAAGAGCGCTGGATTTCCGGTCAACAGACCTGAGTTCGAATCTTCTCTCGATCACTAAAACATTCTTCACCAGTTTCATAAAATAACTTCACGCTCTCTTCGTTCTGCGGAATATTGAATACCCGTCATGCACTCTTTACCGCCAAAATTTTGAAAAGGGACGGGAGATTCGGATGTAAAAGAGGGGAGGGATGAAAACCTTCTTCTTTCTTCCCTAAGATAAAAGGGGCTCTGAATCGTAAAACACTTGTTTCTCCAAGCATTAGAAACCCACTACTCCTGAAATAGGTGTGCAATCTCGTGATAAAGGCAGGATCCTATTCACCAGTATCCAACCTACATGCATCCTGACCCCCCCCCCCCCACGCCCAACAGTGCCTGGCACACAGTGGGCACACTGCACGTGTTTTAGAACGTTTCCAAGGTTGCAACTTGTAGCCCCAGGCCAGGTCCTGCACTAGCGCGCCCCCTCTCGGCCTGTTGAAGAGGAGGCCAACAATGGACTACATTTCCCGGCATGCCTTGAGACAGACTTCCGGCATTACGGGAAGGAAATGCACAGACACGTGGAGGCGGGCGGGCAGACGGAGTTCCAGACGTCGTTAGAGAGGCAGATGGAGTGTCTGCTTTAAGTGTCATTATGTTTCTGCAGTATTATCTTAACGAGGAGGGAGACCGGGTCTATACGCTGAAGGTAAGGAGAGGAAACAGGGTGTAAACGGGGTTGGCGAGAAATGTAGGTGGAAGGAGCTGCCTAGCGGAGTGAGGGGACCCGGAAAGCCCAGCCCCGAGGCGCGGTGGCAGCCCGAGCGCGCGACTTCTCAGTCTTACCGGCGCGTCTCCGAATCTCATTTTGCCTTTTCGCGCTGCCCCCGCCGTACCCAGCCTCCATCTTCCTTATGGCGCCAGTGATGGAATTTTTCCGCCGCTCTGGGGCTGAGACCGTGTTCTCTGTTTCCTCCTCGAGCAGAAGCTTGACCCTATGGGACAGCAGACCTGTTCAGCCCATCCTGCTCGGTTCTCCCCAGACGACAAGTACTCGCGACACCGAATCACCATCAAGAAACGCTTCAAGGTGCTTATGACCCAGCAACCGCGCCCTGTCCTCTGAGGGTCGCTCGTATTTCGTGTCTCTTCTCCTACCCCTCGGAGACTCTCCGTAACCAAGCTCTGCAGTCTGTGAACCTTGGAGCCCTGTTGACCACCCTTGCCGTTTGGAATCCAGCCTTTGATCTTGCTCCTGTGTTAAGGAATCATGGTGGCATTTCCTTTAAAGGGAATAAATTGGAATTTTCATACTGTGAATCGCTGTCAAGTTATTAAAAACAAAATGACTTGAAAGCGCTTTTACTTTGTGTGTTGTGCGAAAAAAGGATGGGTTAAAACACAAAAAACGAAGTAGATGGGGGGAGAGGGATACCCCAGAGAGTTGCAACGAGATCACTTGGAAGAAAAACTTCAGGTGCTGGCTGCAGCGGCAGTAGTGAGGTGCTGTTAACTGATGGGAGCGAGGGTGCTGGGGAAGGGAGAAAGTTTGAGAAAGACTTCTACAACTGTCAGCCATCACTGGAGAATACCCCTGTTGTCACTTAAATAATTTCTTGCCCCTTGAAATGACATTTTGACTCAAAATGGAAGAGTTGCTTGAAAAAGTAATAACAGTAGTTGTACTGAATTTGAAGTCAGGAGACCAGGGTTCTCCCCTCTTTGTATAACTTTAGGGAAGTCACTTCATCTCCTTGGTCCATTTTTCTCATCATTCCAAAGTTCTTTGCCAACTCTAAAGTTGATAAGGTTCATTGATTTCCTTAATTTGTCTACAGTGTTTGTCCAAACTTTATGAATGTCAGTGCCTTCTTACATATTTATTGTCCCTCTGGAAATATTCCCAGGGTTTTAGTTCTGTCCATCAAGGATTTGTCTTTTTACCTACACCTAAGTTTTTGTTTTCTCTGGCAGCTACTGTGTGGAACTCTACATGGATTTTAATTTAGAAGATGAGATATGAGAGATTGAAGTAGGGATTTTTTTTTTTTTTCCAAATTACTGTTGGGGTTATGGTAATAAAAAGAAAACTGGGAGAAATTTCATAGGACTTGAGCTTCTATCATGGGCAACCACAAATGATTTTGAATCCAGAGACAAAATACTGTATCCAGGCATTCAAGAAATGCTAACTTGCTTCTTCCTCTGCTTGTCAAGTTAATTGACCCATTATTTCCCAGTCTCCTCACTCATCGCTTTTGACATTGGATTTGAATGTTGTTTAGTGCCACTGATTTAAAAATTTCTTTGTGGAGCATGTAGTCTAATTCTGCAGTCTGCTTTTTCTACTACATCAAAATTCTAGACTCTAGAAGCAGATGTGACTTAAAGTCAGTTGAAATGTGGCTTCTGACGACTGGTCCTAAAAAGGAGTAGATACATTTCTTTTGGACCCTGCTGTTGGACCATCTCCATAGAAAAGTTCAGGACTGCTAAGGAAAAAAAAAATCTCTGGACTTGGATCATAGTCAACAGAAAACAGATGATTTTCAAATCAATTGCTTAGAACGAAAATCAAACCAAACCTGTTGCCATGGACTCGATTCCAACTCAATAGCGACCCTATAGGACAGAGTAGAACTGTCCCATAGGGTTTCCAAGGAGTGGCTGGTGGATTCAGACTGCCGATCTTTTGATGAACCACTGTGCCACCAGGGCTCAGAGGAATGGTGAAATGAGATACTTGCTTCCTGTCAGGCAATTTTCATTTCTTAGCCTATTCACTCGCAGTGTTCTTAGCATTGGATCCTAGGGATTTTAAAGACTTATCCTAAGAAATGTTAAAAATTCTGCATATGACAAGAAAAAGGATCTGGTATTGAAGTTTCTTAAGCATCTAAGTCAGTAAATGAATACTGCAACCATTTTTTTTTTATTATTTTTAATGTAGTCTGCAATTCTGTTTTTATCTTACCAAAAAAAAGAGGAGGGGAGGGAGCCTTGTTTCCATGCTGCTAGCTATGTAGACTGAAATGAAGAGACTTTGCCCTGGAAATATTCCTAATCTAAGTAAAGGAGAAAAGAAAAACATGCATATATCGAGAACGGTTTACTTAAGAGAGCCCCTGGTTATTAACATCTGGAACATGGCATTTATAGAGCTTAAGAGAGCCCCTGGTTATTAACATCTGGAACATGGCATTTATAGAGCTTACTTAGTGCTCAGAAACAGGTGGGGGTGTTGGTATTAGGTGGTGCAGGTAAGTACATGCAAATACACTGCAAGGAAACACAGATTGAGTGTTGAAAAAATCTAGCATTTCTTTAATAAAGGTTTGAATGAATAGCAGCCCTGCCTGAGGGAAAACTGAACTCTCAAGAGAGACGGATTTCTTGCTTCCTCTAGTAAAAAAGCTGTGAGCTTAAAAAATGAATCAGACTTTATAAAGGATCAAGTTAAAGTGGTTCACATTTTAAATAGGAATTTCTGATTTTGTTACCTAGATCTTTCTAGCTGGAATTTGAACCTGTGTGCTACTTGATAAAAGAAATTTATTTACCTGGTCAGGTCTTAAATACAGTTCTGATCCATTACTAAGGATCCTGCCTAAAAATTCCACTTATGAGGAGCAAGGACCCAAGCAAAGCCAAGGTAGTTTCTGGGCCGAAATTGTGAAATTTCTTGATCGAAGCTATAGCAAATAACTTTCAAACAAAACATTAATGAGTCAGCATTTATTGAACACCTCTATTTATGAGTTAATGAGAAAAATATAATTTTCACATAAATAAGAAAAACATTCTAGTAATAGTAAATGTAAAGGAAACACTAGGAGTGAGTCAAGAGAAAGAATCTCAATGCCTTCTCCACGTCTAAAATTCTTTGCCAGCAGTCAGTGTTCTTTAACGGAACTTTAAGTCTGGCTCGAAATGGACATGGTGTTTTAAAACACAGGCACAAAGAAAAACTGTACAAAGTGTATAAATTTGAGGATACGGTACTTTAGGATAGACCTCTACGTGAAATTCCAATGAGGGTCGTAAACCTAGGTATATGGAATTGAGGCGTGTAATTTTTAAAGAAATTATGAATTTCAGAGACGCTCTTGAAGAGAGATGGCGCTTGAGGTTCTGAGGATAAGAGGTATCGTTCACTCTGTGAGATACCTTCAGGGAGAGTTACTGCAAGACCGCCGGGCCAAGGGGGAAAAAGGAGACTTCCGAGGGGGGCGGGGTTCTGCGCCTCCCCGCTCTGGACTACAGTTCCCGCCGTGCTCCGGGGCCTCACGCTCGGCCCCGCCTGCCCGCCCGGCCCTCGCGGGGCGCCAGGGGCGCATGCGCATAGCCCTCCGTCAGCCCGCGGGCCGCAGAGGCTGGGCGGGGTTCCCGGCTGCGCGCGGAATGGTTCCGCCTTCCGGCCGCTCCCCCGAGCTTCTCTTCGGAACGTTAGCCTCGAATGAGGAACGAGCGGGGAGGGGCTGCGGCGGCGCGGGCAGAGCCCGCCGGGCCCGGGGCCGGCCGCGGTGAGGTCACGTAACGGCTGCTCTGGCGTCGGGTCGGGAACCCGCGGCGGCCCCGAAACAGTTACCGGCTCGTAAACAAGCGCTGCGCGCGCAGCCGCATCAGCTGGTGCCGGCGTCCCGCACCTGCGACCTCCTCCTCCTCCTCCTCCTCGTCCCGGCCTTCCTCCTGCCGCCGCCTCAGCCGGGGGCAGCGTCCTCTGCCGGGGGCAGCCTGCGGGGCCGTCTCCTCTGTGCCGGGACCGGAGGACGGGCGGACCTGCGCCGGCGCCCTGTTGGGAAGAAAGCGCCTTGTGGTCAGAGGGGTGGCCCTTGTGTCGCACGCGGGAGACGCCCCGTGAGCAGACCGCGGGCTGGATGGACTAGCAGCGACCTGCCGCGACCCCGCGCTGCGGTTGGAGGTGTCTGATCGCATCGGCTCTGCCTGCACCCTCAGCTCGCCATCCTCCTCCTCCACCCAGGGGTGTGGGGCAGTTTTCCCGTTATGCATGCGCACCTTTCCCACCAGACCCAAGTGGATTATCGGCCTCAAAACCATCAGGTGGCCGTGCACACGCCTCCTCCCAGCCAGACCTGCGAGGTATTCACCTGATACCCAACAGGTGCCTGGGTGCACAGCTTTTTGCAATCTGATCTATGCTCTATGCGCCTGATAAGGGTGGGCCTGCAGGCGCTTTGCTCGGCTAGAACCGTGGGACACTCGCCAGATAAAGGACTAACCACCTCGGCCGGAACCCGGGGGCTGTGGGGAGGGAGGCTTCACCTGCGACTCCGAGACCATGGCACTGAGCCCGCCCTGGACCAGGACACACGGCTAGGTTGCTCTTCATTCTGAAGGAACCGAGTACCCGAGATTGGCATCCTTTGGTCCTTTTTTTTTTGTTTTTTTCCCCTTAAAGCAGTTTTTTTCCCCCAGCTGTTGGTGGTGTGCTTTCTAGGATGGTTTGCTTGAATTTTGAGTAGAAGGATTCTTATTTGAATTTTTGTCTGGTGTGAATCAAGGTAATTGAGGGTTTTTTTTTAAATATATAAATTATCTTTTCTGTTTTTGCAATCAAAAGTAGCTAGCATAGGAGAAAAGATTTGGGGGGTGGGGGTTTCCTTTCTTCTTTGTCCTTAAAAAGGAAAAAAAGAAAAATGCATCCTCCAGAAACCACCTCCAAGATGGCTTCAGTTCGGTTCATGGTGACACCAACAAAGATCGATGACATTCCAGGTTTGTCAGACACCAGCCCGGACCTCAGCTCTCGATCTAGCTCCCGAGTGAGATTTAGCTCCCGGGAAAGTGTGCCTGAAACAAGCCGCAGTGAGCCAATGAGTGACATGTCAGGGGCCACCACTTCACTGGGAACTGTTGCCCTGGATCCAGCCAGTGACAGGACTTCCAACCCCCAGGATGTTACTGAGGGTAAGTAGAAATAGAAATGACCGGATACTTCCATCACTGGCCCAGTCGTCCAGGATAATCATTTCCTGGGAGATCATTTTCCCATTGTGCAAGAGTCATCTGACTCCAAGGCACCTCTTTTTGAGATGCTTGGGAACCCTTTGGAATAATGGTAGTAGAGTGGGTCTCTGCAGTAGTAATATGGCGTGTGGGAAGGTGTATGGCAAGAAGAAAAGTAGATAAACATTTTGACTTCCTCATTTTTGTCTCTTTAGAGTTGAAGTGGGTATTTTGGTTAAGGATGTATATCAAAGAATGTAATCATTTTCAGCACATAGAATACTGAGTTGTAAAATTTAGGGGGTTGGAGATGTACTGACAAGCTTTGGGGCTTCAGCTTGTACAGCCTGCTTTTAAGAGTAGTTGAGAGGAGTAGTTATGACCATGTCTTAGTGGCTTTCGTCCAAAGACTTCAGATGTTGTATCCTCACAAAATTCTTTTTTTTTTTTTGCAAAGACAGTGGTTCAAGTAGCCAAGCTTACTCAGAGTGAGGCTAGATAGGCCTAGATGTGCTGTTACTTCAAATGGAGGCATTTTAAAGAGATTTTTTTTGGCCTGATGCCCACATATTTTCTGTTCTTTGAACTTTAGATGGAATGTACTGAGTATTAATAAGCCTTTGTAAGTTGCGAAGTCACACATAAGCCACTTCTGACTTCTTTTGACCCCTGGAGACCCTTAGCTTCCTAAACCAATTGGTGTCAGCTGGCTTGGAATTGTTCCCTTGATTTAGTGGGAAAGGTGATGGAAGAGAGGGATGACGTAAAATGGAGAGATTAGAACATGTTTTGGACGTAAAGTAGAAAAATTTGAGAACCGCTATGTTGTTCTGTATATTTAGTTTCATGCTGTATTCTAATTAACGTAGATCATTCTGGTGATGAAAATTTTCCTTGAGCATCTTAAAGACTCTTAAAATGATAGTCTACCCAGGTGGGAAGACCATAGCCTCAGCCGCTCGTGAAAGGGAGGTTCGCTTACCGTTTTCTGGGGTCAGGAAATACCGTTCCGCCTTACAAAGGGTGCAGGAAACCAGAGTGATTGTAGTTCCTTAATTCTGTTTGTGTTTTTAATGTCTGGAGGCAAGCTAGAGTTGGTAAAATTTAGTTCTAGAATCCACTCATCTTTGACTGTTCATCTTTTGTGGGTATATTACGGCTTGGTTTCTGGATTTGACTAATTTCAAGTTCTTGACAGGGTTTACACTGTGTGTCACTGTGCTAAAATTACACTATGGAATCAAAAATAATCCCTCATTTACTTGTCCTCCAAGTTAATTCTGCATTGTAGTTTTAGTTTTTATCTATCATACTATATTTAGGTCGTAAAAAACACCAGGTATATCACCGTGTTAATTTTTTATGCTGTCGTCGTCATTAGGTAATTTATGGTTGATTGTCGATAGACGAGTGACTTGTATGTTATTGAATTGTGTCTTTACTACCCTTTAAAAAGTGGGCTCATTTCAGTAATGTGTTCCCTTTGCCGCACAGGATCCTCATCCAGGCTGCAGTTCTTGTCTTACCTTTCTTTAAGCATTCTTTACAGCCCTAGAGTGGTACAGTCTGACACCACAGAGGGCAAACTAGAGGCGTGTTTAGGTGAAGACTGTGTTGTTTGGGTGGGTACAGAAGGTAGAGCTTGACTCTTATCTAATGCATTCCTAACAATGTTTAAATGCTCTCTGGTACCAAAATGAATGGGAAATTAGCAGCCCAGTCATTAGATTGCATTTTTTCCTATTTTCAGGAATCTATTTCTTACTTTTCCCAATGAACTACTTTTTTTAAATTTTTTATTTTTATAACGACTGTTACCCTGTGGTATATTTTCCCTGCTGTTAGAACTGGTTAGAAATATAGTTATTACGGCTTTGGTTTCACCATAGGTGGATGCCCTAGTTAAGCTTAGATGTAGATCTTCAAAGGGTGTTGTCCAGAAAATCAAGGACATAATGTTAACCTACGTCTTTCTGGGAGGCTAGATTTAGTGTAAGAAAACAACCACTTCTCTACCTTTTACTCTCTCCTTAAGCTCATAGTGTATTTCAGAATTGTGTTTGCTGTTTTAATATTTACAAGTCTGTGAATTGTTTGGCCCTTTCCACTTCCTTCTATGGTTGTACCACAACCTTTCCCACAATTCCCACGCCTTCCACATTTCTTTGTGTAAAGAAACTTCCCACCTGAAGTGTGTTTTGTTATATGCCTTTTACTCATATTACGTGGCACATAGAGGGGTAACACATGAAATTTCAAATACTTATTTCCATCTGTGTTATAATTTTTTCTACTGTTGACCTTTTGAGTAGATGATTATTTTTCTGCTATCAAAGTATTTATAGTTTTTCCTTCATTTTGTCAAGGTTCCATGAGCGTTTATAGGGCTGTCCAGATGGTAAATAAAATCAAGAATTTATTACTATACTTGCTTATGCATGAAGAGTGCTTTAAAGGATACACAAGAATTGTTGAGAGTAGATGCCTTTGGAGAGTGGGTTATGAAAATAGGGTGGAGAGTGGGGAATTTTCCTTTTCCTAAACAGTTCAGAAGGGCATGTACAATGTTTTATGATGAGAGTGTGTCACTTTTATAATAAGTTTTTTTTTTTTTTTTTTAAAGACACATGGCATAGTAGAACTGAGAGGAACTTCAAATGGTCTAGAATCTAGATTCTGGTCAAACCCCATTTCAATAAAGGAAGAAGCTAAGGCTCATAGACATGGTGGTTTAGATCCCATGGTAGCAAAGCCAGGACTGAAGTGTCAGCCTGTTGGGTGCTCTTGCCGTTGTATCGTTTTGCCTTGGCTACAATCAACATTTTTTACATTAGGAAATGGTAACCCAGCCTGTTGCCATCCGATCGATTCCAACTTACAGTGACCCTATAGGGCAGAGTAAAACTACCCATAGGGTTTCCAAGGCTGTAAATCTTCACGAAAGCAGACTGCCACATCTTTCTCCTTTGGGGTGGCAGGTAGGTTCAAACCACCGACCTTTCGGGTTAGCAGCTGAGCGATTAACACTGCACTACCAGGGCACCTCAAATGGTAATCGTTTGGTTAACTTAAATGATTGTTAAGATAGTGATATATAAAAGAGCAGGGAACGTACTTTTACATATCTTACTCAGGCTTTAGTACATTTCAGCTGTTTATGATTCAACAAATACTGCCTGTGTACGTGTGAGGCATTATGGTAGAAGTGGCAGGTTCTGCCTTTGGGAACTTCTGGTAGAGTGGTAAAAATGACGAGTACACTATCCATTCCTTCACCAGAATTTTTTTGAACACTTACTATGGATCAGGCCCTGTGCTGGATGTCACAGATGCAGAATTGAGGGGAAAAAAATCCAGTATCTGTTGTCAGAAAATTTATGATCAAATAGAAAGCAAACAAATTTTCGTACAAGTATTATGCCATATGATGAGTGCAACAATAGGAATCTGCAAAAATACAGAAAGGGAATGTGATGAACAGAGGTGAAGTGGAGAGCTTGATGGGGTAAAGTGGCAGTGAAAGATGGAGAAGGATTGAAGACTAGTTAGACAGTTGAATGTTGGAGTTAAAGGTTTCAGAGGTGGGTCGTTCCAGTCTTAACATGGTTCTAGTGTACGACCATGAGCGTGGGTTTCTGAAATGAAAAGTCAGCTGAGTCAAGGAGATCGAAGTGTACCAAGGCTGAGACTGGCTGTTGCCAGGTTTTTATTGAGAAGTGTTAGGTAGGTGATAGAGATGCAAAACTAATTTAGCCCTTTAAGCAGTCACCTCCTCTGAAACATTTCTGATTCAAACCCATACCCAGGTAGAATAGATCACTCTTTTATGTCCTTATATACGTACCGTATATGGACTATTACTATAACACCTATATCACTTTATTTTGTTGTTTTTATTTACGTGTTATCTTTCTCAATTAGGCAATAAGGTTCTTGAGGACAGGAACTCAGTTATTTGTGTGTTTAGCACCAAGTATAATGTGTGATACCTCAGCATAACTGTTGTTCGGTGCTATCAAGTCAAATCTGACTCATAGCAGCCCATGTGACAGAGTAGAACTGCCCTATAGGGTTTTCTAGGCTGTAATCTTTACCAGGACAGATCACCATGGGTTTCACTCTCTGGGAGGCTTTGAACCACCACCCTTTCGGTTCGTAGCTGAGCGCTTTAGTGTTGCGCCACCAGGGCTCCTTCCCACATAACTAGTGTAAAATAAATACTGAGTTAAAGAGCTCCTCTACTCAAAAAGGAGCCCTGGTGGCACAATGGTTAAGTGCTTAGCTGCTAACAAAAAGGTCGGCGGTTCAAATCCACTAGCCACTCGGAAACCCTGTGGGGCAGCTGCACTGTGTCCTATAGGGTTGCCATGAGTCGGAATTGACTTGGTGGTTTTTTAATACTGAATAGATAAAAGGACCCCGGGTGGCGCAAGCGGTGAAGCACTCAACTACTAACGGAAAGGTTAGCAGTTCACACCCGCCCAGAAGCACCTCAGAAGAAAAGCCTGGCAGTCTACTTCCGAAAGATCACAGCCATCGAAGACCCGTGGAGGGCGTTTCTCCCCTGAAACACATGGGGTCGCATGAGTCGGTATCAACTTGATAGCAACTGGTTTGATTTTGGTTTTATACTCAGAAAAGGAACAGAAATATAAACAGAAATTAAAACTATACTGTGATGAGGGCAAATTAAAGGTATGTGGAGCCCTGGCGGCGCAGTGGTTAAGAGCTTGGCTGCTAACTAAAAGACCAGCAGTTCAAGTCTGCCAGCTGCTCCTCGGAAACCCTGTGGGCAGTTCTACTCCGTCCTGCAGGGTCACTATGAGTTGGAATCGACTCGACAGCAATGGAATTTTTCTTTTTTTTTTGGTTTAGTAAACCAGTGATCCTTCATTCTGGCTGCATTTGGAATGCTCTAGAGAGCTTTATTTAAAAAAACAAAACAAAACAAAAACTGTGCC